GCATCTGGCTGAATGTACACTAATCCACTGCTGGACCCAGAAGAGGTTCATGATAGATATTCGTTAAGGAAATATTGAGTCAGGCTGCCCTGCACCCTGAAGTTCCAAGTTCTCTGCTGTTTGCTGTTGGGTCTCCACTGCAGTCCCACCATATGACCAACTAAGATGGTAGAGGAAAAGTTTTTCCCCCTGACAGACTCTATTAATGTCACTTTCACTAATTAACATCCCCCTGGCTAAAGCAAGTCAACCGGTAAGCCAAAGTCGAGGGCCAGAGGAATGTTTGCCTCGCATGGAGGTGGGAAGGGGTTTATGTTCAGCTTCCTTTGACACCAAGTGAAGGCTGCTTTCTTGCAGCCTTTGTGGAAACCACCCTCCTACGCATTCCCCTGGCTCATTGTCACCACCACCCCATGAAGCATTAATTACGTGACTTCTATCACGTGACTCGGGTCTTAGTTCTTTAGTATTTGCTTTGTCTCTCCAGTGGAATTGCTGAATGTGAAGATGAGGGCTTCTGGGTGGCTCCCCACAGCTATGACGCTGGTGTGCAGCAGGTCATCACAGAAGGCCTCCTCAGCTGTACTTCTCTCTTCCTACCCAGAAGTCCTCAGTGAGTGCCACTGAGGGCACCCTGGCAAGGCATGAAAACGAGCCCCAGAGAGCTGAGCGTGCAACTGTGGCCACACTGGGCTAGAGGAATTCAGCTGCTCTTCGTAAGCTCCAAGGACCGTCTACCAGGAGGTATGGCTGGATGCATCAGCACCATATCCTCACCGACTTAATTAGCAGGTCCTCGTCGGACTTCTTTAAAAAATGGTTTCCATTTTAGTTATTTCTCATCCACACTTGAGACCCAAACCGCTAAAGAGTCAAGAGGTGGGAGTCAGAGTGGTGTAAGGATGCCCTTCCCTTAGTCAAATGGAAAGGGTACTAATACTGGTTAATACTCACTAATCCCCGAGTACAAGGATCACGCCTGCATTCTGCTTTTGAAGTCTTTGTCTTACTTAATCTTCTAGCTACTATAATTATCCCCATCTTGCAGCTGTGGAAAATGAGGCTTAAAAAGATTATGTGACTTGCCCAGGGTCATAGTGCTTACAAATGTAGAGTTGGGGAAGCATACCTTAACAAAAAAGGAAAAAAAAAAAATCTTTTTTTTTTCTTAAATCTGTGTTCTTTAGTGCTCAAGCCAAATTCCTACTATGTCCTTTTAAATTTTTAAAGAACTATTTCAAACATAAAAAATATACAAAATAATTCTCATGTACCCACCAACCACTTTTGCAAAATGACCATTTCTTTTCAATGACTGATTAAAAAAAAAAATCAACAGACACAGAAAACATCCCATAAGCATTCCTCCTTAATCTATCACCTTCTCTTTATGCCCAGATTTACTGTTATTTGAATTTAGTGTTTCTTTTTGAAATTTTCCTTTCTCCTTCCTTTTTTCTTTTTCTTCTCTTTCTTTTTCTTCTTTCTTTCTCCCTTTTTCTTTCTTTTTTCCTTCTTGCTTTCTTCTTTTTCTTTTAATCTATCCCCCTTTCTTTTTCTTTCTTTCTTTTTCTTTCTCTCTCTCATCTCTCTTTTTTTCTAAGAGAGGGCACCCCGAATAGGGTCTCAGCATCACAGTCCACCTCAGCCTTAGATCACGGGCACACATGCTCCCGTGTACTCAGCAAGGTCAAGATGTGAACCTGTACTCAGAGAAGTTCTGAGGCATAAGCCCAGCGCCCTTCCAAGTGGGCCAGCCTCTCAGAACATCGCATTTTATTGCTGTGCTACCATTTAGTCCTGGATTTAGTGTCTCTAAGTCCAGTGTATTTTTTATACTTTTACTATTTATGTAGAGGAGCACAAACAGATTCATCTGAATATTTTAAAATTTAAATAGTATTCTTTTTTTTTTTTTTTAATTTGCTAGAGGGTGCATACACTTGCCAGAGAGACACACACACAGAGAGAGAGAGAGAGGGAAGATGAGAAAGCACCCTCCTGGGGGGTGGCCACACTGCAATTCCTTCTCCTCCATTCTCTCGGATTTTGGGCACACACACATGCTCCTGGAATGTTTCTCAAGCGGACTGGCTAGAGAGAAACAGAGAGAGGGAGAGTAGGAAATCACCACCTTCAGGAGAGATGGCCATGCAGCAATCCCTTCTCCTTCATTCTCCTCTCGGGATTTTGTGAGTTTCAAGCCCCAGGTCTGGAACTCAAACTGCAGCCAACCACGTGAAAGTCCATGCAGGTAGATGACAACACTCTTGAAAACCACTTGAGAAGGAAAACGATGTTGGTGCCCAGTTTAGCTGTACACTTTACCATATTTACAACACTAACGTAAATATTCCCTACTGGTCTGGAGTGTGCGGAGGGCTGCGTGGTGTGAGAGCTAGACCCCATCCACCAAGAAAAGACCAGTGACTTCATTAAGGAAAGGCCTTTAAAATCACTTGTAACCGGGGCTGGCAGGTGGTGTGGTGGTTAAGGGCGCTGGACTCCCACATGGCCAACTGCAATTCAAGGCCCAGACCTGGCAGCTTGCTTTCTCACTTTCCCTTTCTCAATCTATGGACAAATTGAAAAATAATAACAAGTGGAATTAAATAATTTTTTTTTAAATACCAGAAGAAAGCACTAAAAAGGCCAGAAAGGATTACCTCTGGGGAGCCAGACAGAATGGAGCAGGATGGGGTAAGTTAGTGCGAATTGTTATAAATGAATGTTCTAGAACTATTTGGTTTTCAACCGTGACAAAAATAATGCAAAAATCCTTTGAAAATAACTTTCAGCAGGGCCAATGGTTGGGGGCTAGAAAGTGGATCTCTTACCAGAGGGTGGCTTGACGGTTTGCTTCCTAAGGCTGAGCACTCTTTGCTTCCTGTCCTCTTCTGGCTTCTGAGCCCAGGTCACGTGACACCCGTCCACCTTCTCATGGTAAATCCCAGGCTCACTCTGGCCTACTTCTTGGGTGGATAGCAGCCTTCTTGACTTGGCAGTTTATTTTGGAAATCCGCAGAGGAAGCAGACTTCAAATAAGCGTGGGAAGTGCGTCTTGTACCACTGCCATGTATGTTAGTCCCTGTATTTTGAGGCATAACCATATGCCAAGCACTTAGAGTAAACCAAGGCTGGGCTAAATATTTACAGACAGTACTTCGTTTCATTTATTATTATTTTTTTATTTTTTTCTAATTAAAAATATTATTCATTTAATTCATGATAGAGTGTGTACACATGAGAGAGAAGCACCCTCAGGATGCTCTTCCACCTCAGCCCCTACCCCAGCTCTCCGGCTACTCAGTCATGAGCTGTGTGCTCACGCCCAGTGTTCAGGCCAGCCTGAGGATCTGAGCCCGCCGTGGGTCACGAAGCTCCCCACACTGTGATTCAGCTTGCTATCGACAGCGCCACCAGGAGGGGCCTGTCATTTCCCTTTAATAATCGGAGACAGTCGATTATTGTCTTGTATTCCAGTTAAGGAGCTTGACATTCAGAAACCCAATGGCAGAGCAATGGGTAGAACACGCTTCAGGCAACCCCGAGCCCACTTGGCATCTCTCTACTCAGGTTGCAGCGAGCCCTGAAAAGGTGTTGCTGGTTTAGACTCCCTCGTGCATTCATTTCAGTCAGCTCTTCCTCAATACCTTATAGTTGTGACTGGCGTGGAGGGTGGGCTCTCCCATAAGCAAGGGCACTGAGAGCTCCGAGAGGCCATGCTTTCTCTTTGCTGAGGCTCGAATGTGCCAAAATTGATGCACTGGAGACTTAATCCAGAGCAACTAAGTGAGGTAAGCTTTCCCAGACGTGACTAAGTCACGAGGGCACTGCCCTCATTAACAGATTAGAGAAGGGGTTCTCAATAAAAGGATGAGTTCAGCCCCACCCTCCTTGCCCTCTGCTCCTGCCCTAGGAGACAGTAAGAAAGCCTTTTCCGGACGCCATATTGGACTTGCCAGCCTCCAGAACCGCAAGAAATAGATCTGTTTTCCTTTTATATAAGCTACTGCCTAAGGTATTCCGCTACAGTAACACAGCACAGGCGATGACACCATTCAAACCAGAACCTTCTTCCAACTCCGGGAAAAAGGCGATGGCATTTCAGGGAAGCACAAGAAAGCCCTGTCATATCTTTTCCCACTCACCTTACTTCCTCTTACTGACCAACTTCTTAGACTGAGAATGGTGGTTTTACAGTAGGAACAGAGGCTTAGAGTCCCTTTTCCTTTTAATTCTCCCTTTTCATAAGGAAGGTAGCACACTGGAGGCGTGTGTGCACCAAGTGTGAACAAGACCATTGTGTTGGTTTTGTGCAGCATTGCACTGTGCTGGAAGGAACAAAGTACATGCACCGGCTACAAGATGTGAGTTGTGTGTGTCTGTATCTATGTGTTTTTTAAGTTAATTCATTTCATACATGAGAGAGATAGGTAGGCATCCCCACCAGGGTCTCCTGCCACCATCTACTCACAGTCTCAGCCTCTCCAGATCATGGGTGTCCACAAACACCCAGGCGCACTCAGGGAGGCCCCAGGATGTGAACCCAGGAAGTTATATAGTTTCAATGGCTCTACGTATGAGTTAAAAGCTCTTACACTGGGTTGTTCGAAACATCATGGCACGTTTTTGTACAGAAAAAAAACATCATGACTTTTCTAATAACCCAATATCTACATTTAAAGCTGGCAGTGCACAATATAAGGATGAACTGTAAAACTTACCACAATTGTCTTTGTTTTTGTTCTTTCTTTTTTACTTAGAGTAGCATTCAATAGCAGATTTCCATGACAATTCAAGAGAGTTCATGAAAGAAGGCTTTAGGAGCCAGCAGGTGGTGTAGTGGTTAAAGCACTGGATTCCCACATGACCACATGTTCGAGTCCCAAACTTGGTAGTTTGCTTTCTCATTTTCCCCCTCTCTCTCTCTGGTCAAATTTTAAAATAATTTTCTTATACTCTTTGGGGGTTTAATTCTCTTTTATTTATTTCTCCCTTCCCACAACCAGTAAAAAAAATACAATCAACACAGGTACAAGGATCCGATTTTTAAAAATCATCAGAGTGCAAAGGCAGCCGTAGCCCTGGCCCGGGTTAACTTATGTATTTACAGAGTGCAGGGCGTGGCCAGGGCCATGGAGATATGTCTGCAAGGCAGTGAGAAAACAGAGGCAGCCCTCCTTTCCATTACACTTGGTGGAAGAACCCTGCTTCCTTTCTCAATGAGGCCTGTAAGACACGAATCACAGGGGCTATTTACTATATAACTTATGAAAAAGCTGTACAGGTGCATGGCTATAAATACAGAGTATAAATGGCTGTTTGGAAACTGGTATCAACTGGGGGCAAAGTCAGGGGAGGGCTCAGTTTGCTGTCCCAACCTCTTAAAAGGTGGCAAGGCTGGGATGCGGATGATAGGATCTGGACACTTAGACAAGGCTGGGATGAAGAACTGGGAGGGCTGAGGGTACGAAGCAGCGGTACAGATAAAACAGGGCTGGAGAAGGCACAGAGATGGCATCTGGGGTGGGAAGGGGCACAACCTTTTACCCACGACACACATGGACCCACTGCGCCCAGTGGTCACAGTTCCATGGGTGGTCCAGTCATGCCCTGGCTTCTTCCCCCTGAGAAGTTTGCAGCTTTGCTGGCATGGACAGGTGAAGCCCACGTATGAGGGAGGGAGGGGAAAGGTTTGGAAAGGGATCCTAGGGGGTGGATGGAAGGGAGGAAACTAGTCTGCAAAAGCTGACCCAGGAAGTCACCCTGCACAGAAAGTGAGCAGGTGCCAGACACGGAGAACGATTCCATGTGTGGAAGCTCCCTGGGATGCAGGTGGCAGCAGGGGCAGGGAGAGAGCTTAGGGAACGTTCATAGGGTGCTCCAGAAAATCCGGTGAGACTGGTGTTTTTCTGACCAAGAGAGTGGCACTGGGTCACAACCGCTGTCAATCTGGCTTCCAAGCCAGCCGAGTGAAGAGCCTGAGGTCCTTGCAGCAGATAAGCCAGCTCCCCAAATGCTGGCCAGGCCTTGCTCTGATGCTCCGTCTGCCTAGCCCATAAGCAGGGCCCTCCTCTCTCAGGAAGAGGGGAGCACAGATGGTGGGAGTGTACCCTGAGTCTCTCTGTCACTCAGGGTGGGTCCTGTCCCATCCTGGCAACTTCAGGGGAGGACGCTGCAGTCTCACGCCTGCCCAGGCAGGGGAGGGGACCTGGCAGCACCGGGAAGGCAAACACCCACAGTCACACCATTTCTGTTACAGGGAGAATCTGGCAAGGACCTGGAATTAGCTGCTCTTGGTTGAAGCTAGTCTTGGACTTACAGGCCTGAGCTTTCCCACCCCGAGGGGCAGCTCTGTTGTGCACATACACAAGCCTCCCCGGTAGCACACTGCCTAGAAATCTCCCCGCCTGCCCTTTCCTTCCCAAGAGGAAGCTGTGTCTGAAAGTGGGTTCTACCCAGCCGTGCAGGAGCAAGCCGTTGGCGCCCTGCTGGGCCTTCCTGGGCATGCCAGACCGAGGCAGCAGAGTCAGAGAGACTGCTCTGCGGGTGGACAGCCGACGGAGGGAACGCAGAGGAGGCCTGATGGGCATCCATTTCTAACCGGAGCAGAGCCCTCCCAGGCGGTGGAAAGGGGCAGAGCAGAGGGAGTGGGCATGTGGGACCCGAAGTCTCCCCCTCCTCTGGGCCGCCCCTACAAGGCCGTGCTGCTGGAGACAGCCTTGGCGCCCAGAGCATCGCCGCAGGGCTTGGCGTCATCGAGGGCCTCCCTGTGATCGAGGGCCTCGGGGGCCTTGACGGGGACGTCCTGCTGCTGCTCCAGGTCCTGGCAGCACTTGCTGCAGCGGCAGCACGAGGGGCAGGCGCAGAACAGGCAGCACACGCCGGAGAACCACCGGGCGACACA